GGGAAGGTCTGAGCCAGCTGCCAGTGAGAATGGGATCTGAACTTTGCAGCTGATCCATTCACTACCAGAGGCCAAAGCAAACACCTGCCTGCCTGGCCATGGTCCGGAGGGTAGGGCTGCAGCTCGGGTCTCTGATTTGGGCAGAGTGGCTCTCACACCAGCACAAGCTTCAGGCCCATTCAGAGCCATGCAGGTGACTGTACGTACCTAGAGGTGACCGTCACTTACTGTTACTTACTGTTGAGTGGGGCATCAGCTCCCCTGCCCCCCCCCCCAAAATAGCTGAGGCTTATTTTTACAGAGGCAGTAGCCCAGGGCTAGCACATGGGTGGTGTAGCAAGCCAAGAAGGTTGTGAAAGGCGATTCAAGGGGTGGAAGGCATCAAATGTTACTGTAAATGAATGCAGACACCCCTGCTCTCACCCCTCGCCCTCCCTGCAGCGTTCCAGGAACTCTCAGCACAAACCAGTTTGACTTGGCACTAAAATAGAGCCAGGTCTGGTCCCCACATCTCCAAATGGATAGAGAAGAGCTAGAGAAGGTCCAGAGATGGACAGTAAGGTTGATGAGCAGCACGGAGGGGCTTCCCTAGGAGGAGATGAGACCAGGCCTGCACAGTTGAGACAGGAGATGCTTGGTGGGGGGACATGAGAAGGGTTTATAAAACACTAAATGGTGAAGAGAAAGTTGATAGGGATTTATTATTGACTGTCTGTCACCCGACAAGGACTAGGGGTCACAGCATGAAACGAGTAGGCAGTCAGTTTAAAACTAACAGGATATTTTGCACCTAGTTTTTTTGCACCTAGCGTGTCATTGAAGCTGAGAGTTAAGCCAGATTCACCAAGGGATTGGGCATGCTCTTGGAGGAAAAGGGCACCAGCAACTATTAAGCATGCAGGTGAGGGGCACGGCCTCTGCATCAGAATGTCCTGGACCTTAAATGCTGGAGGCTGCAAGGGGAAGAGGAACGGTGGGAAAAACCCTGGTCGTGTCCTGTTCACTCTCTTTCAGTCTCTGCTCTCTGTCTCCATGTGATACAGGAGCCTGGGCAAGATGGACCTAGGCTCTGACCCGGGACATAGCAGTTCTTGCATTTATGCTACTCTTTTTTTGCTCCTCCAGCAGACATCAGGACCTGCTCCCATTTCTGATGCTCAAGGGGGGGTTGCAGGTCTCAGCCGGGGACAGCTGACAGCTTTGTAAGCCACTGTGGCATCTGAGGTTTCACACGGACATGGTACTTAGCTGTATAGCCCTGGGCTGTGCCAACCGGGTGCCCTGTGCCCTTCTCCAGTTCACTGCCCTCCTCGCTGCCCTCTCTCAGGGGTGGTCCAACCCTATCTCCTCTGACCCTGTGCCCCTCATCCTCTGTCTGGGTAAAGCTGATACGCCGATTGCATTTGTCTGTATTTGAGGTGGCTGCTGTGAGTCGAGCACAGGGACCCCAGAGCTGCCCTTGCTTTGGAGACTGACAGTCCATCCAACTGCCCCGATAGGCTTTCAGGAGAGACTTCCCTGGCCAGCATTACAGTGACATGGGAACAGCCCAGAGCTGATGGGGATGGGCACAGCGCAGAGGTGCAGCAGGGGCCTTGTGTTTGGCACAAGCATTTGAGACAGTTGGTTTCTTTTGCAATATAGATATAAAACTTTACCTCCAACACTGCCAAGCAGCCTTTGTGGTTCACTTGGCAGATCAAAGCACACTAAAATCCAGTTCCAGAGTGATGCTGGTACACAGCCATTAGCTAGATGGGTGCAAATCTGCCCTGGCTTCTGCCTTCCAGAGGACCGTTCAGGTGAGCGCGGTGAGTGAGATACAGCCCAAAGTGGGCACAGGACTCTGGGAGGGGTCTGCGGTGATACGTGACACTGAAATGACTCGGGAGACCCTTGGGAAGCCAGCTCCTTGGGAATCCCTTTTGGGAGAGGGGAGGAGTGACGGCACGTGCTTTCGTGGCTGCGTCACGTGTCCACATCACATGCAGAGCAGCGTTTAAAGGAGTCTGCTAACAAAGCTTTGGTAGGGCCAGAAGCTAATTCTGCACCCGTTGCCTGCAGGCAGCCGCCTCCATCTCCAGGGCAGATGCAAGGGAAGCATTTCTGCACCCTGAGAATGGGGAGCTGCTCTGCTTTGGAGACGCCTGGGATCCCAGGAGCAGAAGGATGGCGTCTGGGTAGGGCACAAGCCGTTCGCATCAGCTGGGTCTCTTCCTGCCTCTGCTTTAGGCTTGGGAAGAACCATACCCCGTGCCTCAGTTTCCCTCATATGTGAGAGGATTCTCCTGTGTCCTGGGGCAATGCGAGGTTGAATGAATACCAGGAGGACTGTGGGACCACATGCACAGGGAGCTACAGCAATTGCAACCTTGTGGCCCTTCAACGCCATGCTGCCACAGTAATCATGGCCAAGGGGGTGTGGAACAGCTGCAGAAGACCTGGAGGACCTCAGGTCTCGGCACAAGCCACCCTGCATGTTCTGGCTGATGTCTCTCCTTTCCCGTGGGTGTTCTCTGCAAGCAAACCCCGGCTTGGAAACAACCGTCACAGGTGAGGAGAAGAGAAAAGACACCAACTAGGAAGACGCTCATTAGGGGTGTAGCCGCAGGGATCCCATCTGGGGTGCTTCCTTCTATCTAAGATGTCTCCAGGGTGGGTTTCTCCTTTAACGCCCAGCTCTGAGGCCAAAATGGCCACGCACAAAGGGTGTTTGTGCCCAAAAGCTTGCAGTTAAGGACATTTTTTTTGCAAAAATCTAGTTGGTCTAATAAAACATATCACCTCTGCCACAAGTCCAGATTGTGTAGACCAATACGGCTACAACCTGGATACCCGACACACAGGTGAGTGGCATTCAGCTATTTAAATGTGCAGAGACAACAACGAAAGGCATCCTGCACGGACAAGTGCAAGGTGATGCACCTGGGGAGGAACAACCGGCACCATACCTACAGGTTAGGGAACTCCCCCCTTGTCAGCACGGAGGCAAAAAAAGATCTTGGAGTCATCGTTGACTCCAAGATGAACATGGGTCGGCAATGTGGGGAGGCGGCTAGGAGGGCCAACTGTACCTTGTCATGCATCCACAGCTGCATCTTGAGCAGGTCCAGAGAGGTGATCCTCCCCCTCTATGCGGCACTGGTCAGGCCGCAGCTGGAGTACTGCGTCCAGTTCTGGG